CAACCCTAGAATGAAGCTTAAGGACATTAAGGAAAAGGCGCAGAAGAAGTGGAATGTGGGGGTCAACAAAACCAAGGCTATAAGGGCTAGGTTTGCAGCAAGAGACGTGGTTGATGGGTCATTCTTAGGGGATTATACAAGGATTTATGACTATGCACATGAGTTGTTAAGATCTAACCCAGGGTCAACTGTGAAAGTACATGTCCAACCAGCTCAAGAAGGTAGTGGTGTTCAGAAATTACACTTCAAAAGGATTTACATATGCTTGGCATCTTGTAAGGAAAGCTTCGGGTTAAGTAGACATTTCATAGGGCTTGATGAATGTTTTTTGAAAGGGCTTTGTGGAGGTCAAATCCTGTCAGCCATAGGATGAGATCCCAATGATCAAATGCTACCAATAGCATATGCAGTAGTGGAGAGTGAAAACAAGGAAAGTTGGACATGGTTCTTGGAGCTGCTTATTGGTGATCTAGGTGGAAGAGAAGAGTGTCTCACATACGCTTTTATTTCTGATCAACAAAAGGTATGACTCTATTGTTAATTCTCAATTGATTAGTATTTTTAATAATTAAATTCTCATGTTTATCCTGGTATTCTCATGTTTAATAATTAAATTCTATACATATCATGACCCAGGGATTATTGCCTGCAATGGAGGAACTACTGCCTACAGTTGAACAAAGATTCTGTGTTAGGCATCTCTACAACAACTTTAGGAAGAGATTTCCAGGAAAAAAACTAAAGGAAATTATATGGAAGGCATCCAAATCAACTTACTATCAAGCTTGGGAAAGAGAGATGAAAGTTATGAAACATATCAATGGAGAAGCATACAAGCACATGATGTCTACCCCTCCAAGGTTTTGGAGCAGATCATACTTCAAGACTCATAACAAATGCGATGCAGTTCTCAATAATATGTCAGAATCCTTTAATAGTGTTATTTTGGAGTCAAGGGCCAAGCCATTAATAACCATGGTGGAAGAAATTAGGATATACATGATGGAGAGATGGGATACAAACAGGATGAGGTTTCAGAAATTGACAGATGTAGAAGTGTTGCCAAACATTATGAAAAAGGTTGAGAAAACAAGTTCATTCACAAACATGTGGCTTCCCAGGTAAAATTATTAAAACAAGCATTTTTTCTGTGTTAGAATGTCTGAGTTTGGAATGTCCATTTGATGTCTTAATTTGGAATGTCCATTTTTCTGTGTTAGGATGTCTGATGAGCATATGTTTGAAGTGAGGCATCTGGAAAATTCTACTGAAAAATTCACTGTAAACTTGAAGGAAAAAATCTGTTCATGCAGAAGATGGGAGCTAACAGGCCTATCATGTGTTTATTCACTTGCAGCAATCAAAAATAGGAACCATAGGATTGATGAATACATTCTTGATTATTACAGGAAATCTAGATATTTGCAAGTGTACAAACCTGTCATATTCCCTGTTAATGGCTCAAACCTATGGGTTACAACTGAGTACCCTGATGTTATGCCACCCAAATTCAGGAAAATGCCTGGAAGGCCAAAGAAAAGGAGGAATTTAGAGCAAGGTGAGCTAGATGGTACTGATAAAAAGATGAGAAGAATGGGATTCATTATAAAGTGTAGCAGGTGTAAGCAGGTAGGTCACAACAAGCTTACTTGTAAGGTGCCTTCTACTAGTCAGACAACTACTACACAAGTACCACATGCAGCTCAACCATCTGTACCACAAGCACCATCTGTACCACAAGTACCAGTTCCTTCTCAACCATCTCAAGCATCTGTACCAGTGGCATCTGTACCAGTGGCATCTGTACCAGTGGCATCTCAAGCATCTAAGTCAGTTCCTGGTCAAGCTTCTCAGCCATCTCAATCTAAATCATCCAAAAAGTTGTCAGTTAGAAGGTCAAATGCACCATTTGTCCTATCTCAAGCATCTAAGTCAGTTCCTGGTCAAGCTTCTCAGCCATCTCAATCTAAATCATCCAAAAAGTTGTCAGTTAGAAGGCCAAATGCACCATTTGTCCCACCAGGTCCAACAACGAGGTTAAAGGCATCAATAACTGTTGTAGGTCCAACAACAAGAAGGACAACACCAACTAAAAGAGCAGCACCAAAGTGGAAACTTTAGTTTACTTTTATGTCTGTTTTGGATTAGGATTGGACCTATAGTTGTTATGTTGTTTTGTTAACTTGTAATATTAGAATTGGTTATGTTAAGTTGTTTTGATCATGTAATATCAAGCTGTTTTTTTTTTGACCTGTAATATCAGGCTATTTTGATTGGACCTGTAATATCAGGTTCTTTTGTATGCAACTTAGTGGTATCCACCACCTTATAATTATATGTTGTTACCTATCTTCAATTGCTACAGTATGTTACATTGATCAAAATGCTACTAGTTACAGTATGTTACATAATGTTTTACATTGATACAAAAATGCTACTAGTTTTACAGTATGTTACATTGATCAAAATGCTACATTGATACAAAAATTGCTACAGTATATTTTACAGTATGTTACATTGATCAAAATGCTACTAGTTCAAAAATTCAAGTTGATACAAAAATTCAAATTCATAATGATACCATGTTCAAATTGAGACTGTGTTACATATGATACTCTATTACATATATTCTCAATTCAACCGTCTATTACAACATCATCCAAATTACCACAACTAACATAATAAAGAAGAATCTTTTCCATTTTTTCTGAGAATTCATCATCTTCTTCATTTCAATTTGTAACTCCATTATCTTATGTTTCAACCCATCCTTCCTTTCCTTTAGATGATGTATCTCCGTCTTTGCTCCATCAAGCTCATTTTGCAGCTTCTCCAACCTATTATTCTGCTTCTTTATAAACTGATCCTTCTCATCCACCACATCATCAAAGAACCATTGAAAGTATCCACACCTAGATTCAGATGAACCCTGTAATGGTGACATCCAGATTCATCTCAGCTATTGCAGGAACTATCAGAACAAGAATATATGAAAACCCATTTTAATTTCATGCTTACCTTGTAATGATGACAACCCCATAATTGCTTCCCAAAGTTTGTGACAGTGGTAGCCCTTCGAAGAACCGCAGATTCTCCACAACCACATATAGGTCTCCATCGCAACTTTCCATCTAAGCTTCCATCTAAGCTTCCATCTCTATTGCAATCGTACGAAGACCGGATCTCTGATGATGCTTCCTTCATCATATTGAGGGAATTTCAAATTCAAAATGGGAAAATTGAGGATTTCTGGAACCCTAGAATTTGAGAATTTCTGGAAGCAGCTTGAAGATGGTGTACATAACATTCCATGTCACCTGCCACGCATGCAAACCAAACGTCCGTTTGTGCCTTTTGGACGGAAAGGACTCCTATGGTCTTTTGAAAGAATTATAGGACCAGTTTGACATTTTTTTAGATAAATGACCAAAATGGACTTTGGGGTAAACTTAAAGGACTAAAAAGGGTATTTTACCTAATTTTTATCATTCTTATTTAATCTATATTTTTAAATAATAAATAATATTTTTTAATAAATTTAATATATTAAGATTGAAAAAAGAAAGAGATATTAAAATTAATAAAAATAAAGATAATAAAATAAATTTAATAAATTAAAATGGAGACGGAACAGATACTAGCTTCCTCAACTCTGTTTTTGTCTGTAATTAAAAATTAAGTTTACTCTACATCATCATATTTACCTCTAAAATTAGTTAAATTAATTTTTCTCCGTTAGATTGGGACGAAAGTGATTGGATCCAAATAGGGGTAGAGTTTTTTTTTTTTGCCACACCTAACAAAGACATATTAGATAAATATTAAAAAAATATTTATATAAATGTTTGTTCTAATTCTGATAAACTTTTTGATTTATCCTAATTCGTGAACTATGTGAGTCCAATTTATGTAAATTATTTAATAAGAAAAATAAATATAATACATTATCGAAATTGAACCTCTCCGAAGAGTTGTGTTTTTGTCATTTGTTAAAGTGCTATTAACCATTCGATTTCAATCCACAATTCATAAAAAATAAATCTAATTTTTTCAATACTAATATAACTTAATGATTGTGACACCTTATTATACTCATTAATCATAATCTAACCTTAATTAGACTAACCATTTGATCTTATTAATCATCCAATGACTTTCTTTAAAAATTTATTTTCTTCTTTCTCAACAAATAAAATTAACACAAATAAAAAAAAAGTCACAACATACACTGCCTTTATCTATTAAAAAATTAGGAGAATAGATAAATTGTTGATAATGAAGCTAAAGAATATATGTTGATATGAGTGCAAAAATATAAGCCAGAACTTATGAGTTCCATTTCATCCATTCTTAGCCTCAAGGTGCTATTTATTTTTCTCCCTCTTATCTACTACTTGAACATCATTTGACCCCACCTCAGATTTACAATATTCTTTTATTACATATTTATAGTTTTATATAATAAAGTTCCACTAAGAGCATAGAGCAGTGGCAGCTCTTAGTTCTATATGAAATTCTCCCTGGTAAACTCACTGACTTTCATTTCATTCTTACATGCTATCTTTTGTTCTTTCCATTTTATATTTTTTCATGAATGATATATACTACTCATGTTGTGTTTTGGAAGTTAAGAAATCATGCTAATCATCAAAATTCTGTACATGTAATATCTAATAGTAAATATAAATGGTTCAGTACATGCATGCATGGTAATTTTTAATTTTTTTCAAGCAGTCTATTGGCTGTTTGTTAAAAGTGAATAAATGAGATGCCGTGAGTTGGAATGCACACTCCTATAGTTAGATAGTTAGATGTCTTTGCACAACTTCCAAATGAACCGGCTTAAGAGAACTTTAGAGCTTTCTAATTTCTGTTACCAGCAACTGAGAAAGTTGTTAATACTGACTTTATGATGGATTTTTATATAGGTGATTCTTTGGTGCTAAAAAAAGGCAAGAGTTGCTTGAGTTCAAAGAGGGACCAATTTCAAGCTAAGAAAGATGGACAATTTTTATGGACCAGGAAGAAACCATCTCTTTGTTCCAGGGCCGGTTAACATACCTGACCAGGTAATTCGGGCTATGAGCCGGAACAACGAGGACTATCGTTCTCCTGCAATTCCAGCGCTCACAAAAGAGCTACTTGAGGATGTCAAGAAGATTTTCAAGACTACCACCGGAACACCCTTTCTTTTCCCTACAACTGGTACTGTTCAATCTTTACATGTGTATAATTTTAGTTATGTTCATGGTCCCAATGATTAGACTCTCATACCATATTACGTTTTTATATTGGATCCCACTCATCGGCTTTTAAGAATTGGATTATCACTCTTTAAAAATTCTTTCTGGTTTAATCCTTAGATTCATTTTTCTTTAGTAACAAGGTCGTCTTAGGTTTTTAGAAGCCCAGGATAGAATATTCATGGTTCTAACATTGAAAAACAATTAGAATCCTTTTTTTGCCACGGTTTAACAAAGACAAATATAAGACAAATATTTTATAAGGCTCTTTTTATCCAGCAGTAAAAACTTGAAGTTATGTCTGATAGCCTGTGTTTCATGTTTTCAAAGACGGTCCTAATTAGTAACTGGACTCTGTTGTATCTAACCAAATGAAACTTGACTCCAAATTATTATATCAAATTATATAGTAGTGGCTAAATTGTGTGTTTTTTGAATTTTTCTTTCTTTCTATTTTGGGTCTTTTGGAGGTTACAAAAAGTTGGGATAAGGTTGGAGAAATTGGTTAAGCAATAGCAAATAATCTGTTTTTTCTTTTGGTTGTGTTGTCATTTCTAATAATGCTTTTGCATTTGGTTCAGGCACTGGTGCTTGGGAGAGTGCTCTGACAAACACATTGTCGCCTGGAGATCGTACTGTATCTTTCCTGATAGGCCAATTCAGTTTGCTTTGGATTGATCAGCAGCAACGCCTTAAATTTAATGTTGATGTTGTGGAAAGTGAATGGGGCCGTGGTGCCGATCTCGACATTTTGGAGTCAAAACTTGCTTCAGATTCTGCACACACCATAAAGGCTATTTGCATTGTTCATAATGAGACAGCAACTGGAGTCACCAATAACTTAGCCAAAGTCAGACAACTTCTTGGTGAGCATGAAAATGCATTTTCTTATCGCCTTTTCGATGTTTCAAATAATTTTGCAGTCACCAACCTTTGGATTTTCAATGTTCTCGTCTTTTCTTTACTTATATTGTCTCTATGAAATGGCACTGACATTGTAGTTTGGATACTCAGATGCATACAGCCATCCGGCTCTCCTGCTTGTTGATGGAGTGTCATCCATTTGTGCTCTTGATTTCCGTATGGACGAATGGGGAGTTGATGTGGCTATAACTGGTTCTCAGAAAGCCCTATCCCTTCCTACTGGGATTGGATTTGTGGTTGCAAGCCCTAAAGCTATTGAAGCTTCGAAAACTGCTAAATCACTTAGAGTTTTCTTTGATTGGGGTGACTACCTCAAATTCTACAAGTTAGGAACCTATTGGCCATACACTCCTTCCATTCAGCTTCTCTATGGTCTCAGGGCTGCTCTTGATCTCATTTTTGAGGAAGGACTTGAAAATATTTTCGCAAGGCACAATCGTTTAGGTACCGCAACCAGGTACGGCCTAATTTACTTCTCATAATTCATATACCGATCCCTAAATCCAACTCGCCTAAACTTTTTTTCTAAAATATCTTTGTCAAGGACTTCACCGTGTAAGAAAAATGATAATTTTGCACAAGTGATCATAGCCAGTATTGTCAGATAGCTGCTCTCGTGTAGCAGAGTTTGATCATAGGCAGGGTTGTCGATTGCTGATCGCTTGTGTTCCACGATCAGCAATCGACAACCCTGAACAAAAGTTTATTTTTGTAATAGTTGTAACTTTTTGGTCAAGTCAATGAATGTGATATGGTTTTCAATATGGTAAATACAGACTTGCTGTGGAGGCATGGGGTTTGAAGAATTGCACACAAAAGGAAGAGTGGTTCAGTGACACTGTGACTGCTGTTGTTGTTCCTCCAAACATTGACGGTGCTGAAATTGTAAGAAGGGGATGGAAAAGATACAATTTGAGCTTAGGTTTGGGACTAAACAAAGTTGCTGGGAAGGTTTTCAGAATTGGACACCTTGGCAACATGAATGAGGTAACGTTGACGCGGTATCTATCAGGTGTCTAGTGTAGGTGTCTCGCGTCTGATACTGACAAAAATAATTACGTTCAATCAAGTATTGATAGATAATGTTTACAAATGTCATTTATGATTGAAATTGTTAATTGTTTGAATATTTTACAGTTGCAACTATTGGGGTGTCTTGCTGGTGTGGAGATGATACTGAAAGATGTGGGTTATCCAGTGAAGTTAGGAAGTGGAGTTGCTGCTGCCAGTGCATACTTACAGAACAATATTCCTCTCATCCCTTCAAGGATTTGAGTTACATGCTCATTCTTGTAATTACTTCCATTTATGCTCTTTCAAGATATCTGTATAATACAACATAATGTATTATTATTATTGTTCCCTTTTGTACTCATTTGAAGATGAACATATTTGCTACTTTTAGTTTTAATAAAATGCATTGTTTCTTTCATTGTTGCATCTAATGCCTTTTATTGGAGACTCTCTTGTTGGTGAGGACTAATCAACAACATGAAGAAGAGAGAACAAGAGAATTAAGTAGTTTATTTTAATTTGTTTTGTAATAATTTTATTTAGTTTTAATTTCATTGTAATAGTTTTGATTTTGAATTAGTTGATGCTTGCATCCTTACATTTATTTTAGGGAGTTGCTCTATCCACCTCTCTTCCATTACTGGGAAAAGTTTCTAATGCTCCTAGCGTTTAGAAATGCATATTCAGATGTATATTTTTCACATACATTTCTATTAAATTTGCTGAGAAATTCTTTATTCAGTTAAAATTTAGTCTGAAGATGCATCTTTATATGTTTTAAAGGTTAATTTGAAGATGAATCTTCGTAGCTCTTCTAAATTCATTATTCAGTGAGTTTCTAGAGATGTAATCCGGGGACGTTGGTGAGGGGTTTCAAATGCACCCCCTGATTTTTCCATAATACACCCAATAATGCTACTTAATTTTATTTTGAACCCCCTGAATATTTTAGTTTTGCACCTCTAACTCAAGTTTGTGAACTGTACATCCCTATACTTTTTTACTTTAATGACTAACATATCTCTACTTTTACTAATAGGACTATCTTTGTTTTTATTAATAGGACTATAAGTCTAGAGCAGTACTAGTACTTCCTACCTATATATTATTTATAGCCTAATAGAGATAAGAGACTAACCTGTAGGATCAATAAAGAAAACTCTCTTGCAATTATTATTATTACTAAGATTGAAAATACTCAGATTGTAGTATCAAACACCTTTATTTGCATAGTTACTTATACAATACTCAACCACTAAACTTAATTAATTTAAAAGTCTGCACCCTCTGAGTCAGGGTTCTGACTCTACCGTTAGATGTAACTCCAAAATTTATTATTAGTTTTAACTAGAAACAAGCAGGAATATAGACTGAATGGAAAAATAACATATATTAACATCGAAATAAACATTACATAGACAACTGTTAATGTTAACATAAATTTAACATTACATGTCATTATAAGCGGAAGATTCAAGACGTTGTAACATCCTTATAATATCTTCGATTGATCTTAAAATTATCGCATTCACTTCAATTAAATCCTTTGTTGAGTAATGGTAAAAGATACTCCATATAACCTTTAAATCATCACCCGTCTTAAGTTCAAGCATTGATGAACCATATCTTCTATTCGTTGTCAATAGGTGAACGATACTCGAGCTTTACAACTCTCCGATTTTTTGGATATCGTAGGAGAGTATTCCGTTTGGATTTCAAATTGAAGAGAAGTATGTCCTTGAAGACTCTAAACCGAAGTGGGGATTTGCGCTAATGAAATACACAAATGTAAGACAAGAATATATATTCATTTCATTTTTTTAAAGGAAAATGGAACGAGGGACCCTATTTATAGAAGTTGTAAAATAATAAAGACCTTACAAATCCTATCAAAGACAATATTAATGCAAGTAATGAGCTTTACTTGCATTTCCATCTTGTTTTGCTCCCTTTGAAGTGATGAAATACAAGAATGATGTTTTTGTTTTGAAAAGTTGATTGAGAATGAAAGAAACTTTTTTAAGGGTTTTAAGAATGAAGTTGTTTTAGCATGAAGATGAAGATCATGCAAGGTGGTATTTTATCCAATTTCCCACTTTGGCATTTTCGGAGATGTATCTCCGGAAACATCACTGCGTCGTTTATTAAATCTACTAAGTGAAATAAAACACCATAAATGAGTCCAGGAGACATTTCAGAGATACATCACCGAATGAACCTAAATAACGTACGAAGATGCATCTCCAGACCATATTTTGTTCAAAATAAGGGTGAATCTTAGAATAACACATTTTGGTGTGATTTAGATGCATTCGGAGATGTATCTCTGGACGCATGAATGACAATTTTGGATTTTCGAGGGTGGGGGATGCACACGTAAGGGTGGAAAGAATAACCCCCTTATTTTAAGAAAATATGATATATGTGTTTATGGCCCATTTAATTTTAGGAGAACTCTTACTATAAGTAAACATTTTGTAACCTCTTTTTAAAAAGTTTGAAATGAATTGAGTTATTTAGGTCTTCTCTTTTTGGTTCTTGGATTAGAATCTTAATTTAATCTTATCAATGACTCCTTACTACTGTGACTTATCAGCCTTCTAGGTTATGGCGCCTTTCTTCTTCCATATATAATGAAGATCTAACCAAGTGATTTCTTACAACAAAGTGACACATAAAAGGGAAAATTAATAACAAAATATGGACAAGATGGAGAAGACGAAAAGAAGGAAGAGGCCATAACTTAGAAGATTGATAAGAAAATGAGAAATCACCTTGATGAATGGTAAGGAAGCCATTCATAAGATTCAATTAGGTTTTCGATCCAAGAATAAAAAAGAGGAGACCTATCTCACTCATCATTCACATAAAAAACAATAACTCAATTCATTTCAAACTTTTCCAAAAGAGGTTACAAAACTCGTACTTAGAGAGTAAGAGTACTCCTAAACCTAAATGGGTCATAACACCACTTTTTAGACCCATATTGAGACACATGATATTTTCCTAAAATAAATGCAAAGAAACAAACATCAACTAATTTTAAATTAAAAGTATTACAATTTTAAATTAAAATTAAATAAAATTATTACAAAACAAATTAAAATGAATTACTTAATTTTCTTATATACTTAACTAGTCCTCATCACTTATGGACACAAAATAATCAATTTTCTTATATGTAAAATACTAAAAAATTTCCCTTACAACAAATGGTGGATTATATATATTTGTAAAGTGACTCAATTTGACTAGCTCATTCAACAAAAATAAATTAAACATGTTACAATTTTTGGGGATTACTCATCCCACCCTATAGGGTGGTTCCACACGACAGTGAAAAGTCACAACTACTCTTAGAATTCGAAGATGCATCTTCAAACGCGCCCTTTGCATACACATATCAACTCAAATTGCTGAGACATTCTTATTTTGTTAAAATTTAGTCCGGAGATACATCTTTGCAACAACATTAAATTGAGTCCAGAGATGCACCTCCGTAACAACCTTTACTTCAATGTTTAGTGATTTTTCCATGTTAGGTTAAACCATAAACAATCATAAAATATTGGAAAAATAACATACTTAAATATCAAAATAAACATTACACAGATAATCATTAACGCTAACATAGATTCAACATTGCATTTCATTACAAATAGGTGTTTCAGGATGTTCTAACATCCTTAGAATATCTTCGGTCGATCTTGCAGTTGTCGCATCCACTTCAATTGGACCCTGTTGTACCCCAAAATTTGCCCTCCCATATTCATCAAGAATTGTCAAAGTCAAGGTCACAAAATGCCCCAAGGGTTGTGCAGCTCAACTGTCTCCTATACAGTCAAAACTAGGGTTTGAGTTCTGGTCAAGCAAATGAACTTTCCAAAGGCCCAATCAAGTCTCATGTGCCTACAAAGATGGTCAAGCATCCTCATATCAAGTTTCAAGGCATTCAGCTCAAAATTGCACAGTCAAAACCCTAGATTGCACTACAGTCAACTGTAGGGGCAAAATGGTCATTTGACAGTCAAAAGTTCAAATTTTTGGTCAACATATCATTTTGAAGCCACAAACATCATTTGATCAATGCTTGATCATGATTCTCAAAATTTGGCTTAGAAATCATCAAAGATGCAAAAGTTGCTATATTTGGACAGCTGAAAAAGTCAACTGAAATTGACCAGGGCATAACTTTCACTTGGATTATCAGAAAAATTCCATCCAAAGCTCATTTTGAAGAGAAAGACATTTCCTACAATTCATCTTCATGTTCCAAGTCCAAGAAATGCTCTCACAAAAAGTTATCAATTTCAACATTATAGGTCATTTTCAAAGTCAACAAAAAGTGACTTTAGGTCAAAGGCCATAACTTGAGATTGGTAAATCAAAATGACATGGGACCAAAGGCATTGGTTAAAGGACTCAAAGACCTTTCCAAAATGTCCAAGAACATGTGAAAAACTTAAAAATTGACCAAGTTATGCCTTGTGGAAGTTGGGAAATTTTTGGAAATTTTTGAAAGTCAACATTGATGCAAAAGGCCTAAAAATGCAAATGGGCCCAATTTTCTTCCAAATTTCTTCATGCCAAGCCTATGCACGACCACTAGGCCCAAAGGGAAGTATTCTCATATTTTTTAATTATTTATTTGAATTAATATTAATTTATATTCATTTAAATGATTTTAATTCATGAAAAATATAAACTTTAACCTAAAAAATCTTTTCATGCACATTATAAACTCAATATTTCGTGCTTAAATGATTAGGGTAAGTTGTGATAAGATTGGATCATGATTGAACAAAAACAACATGAAAAAGATTGAAAAAGATTTCATAAAAATCAAATATGCAAAATCATGAATGCTTGAGATTTTGTTCAATCTTTTGACCTAAAATCATTCCATACAAGTACTACAACACAACCCTAATGTGAAAAGACTAAAAATTGCGCAGCAAACCAATACACAAATTTGCAAAAATTCTCAAAAAGTCAAACACTGAAATCTAGCTTTTAGGACGATTCAAGCTTGGATTTTTGTTGCAATAGCTTCCTTGGACCATTCAGAACCTTTTCCAATCATTAACAACAGCAAAAACCTCAAGAATTGGTACCCCATGGTCAAACTGTGAAGCAAAATTTCTGAATTCGCATAGCATGATTCAAGCATGATTTTGCATTTTTTTTCATGTATTTATACTCATAAGCATGTTTCTAAACTAACCATGTGATCTAATCGCGTTTATATGCTGTGTATTCAA